CGGGGGCGGGGCCAATGCCGCTGAGCCCCGCCCCCTCCTCCCGGTCCCTGCCCGCCGGCTGGATCCCGGTCCCCAGGAGATAACTGACCAACGGCGACCGGGTCGCCAAGGGAGGCCTAAGGGACAGCCACCTTCCTTTCCCGGCTGGGAGGCTGATGGATCCCAGTTCCCACCGGCTGCAGGGCCTGGGGTCCAAGGCTTGGCCCTCTCCAGCATGCGCCCTCCAGCCCTCCCATGTCCCCTGCACCACGTGTCTTCAGACGGCGCGGGTGGGGCCTTCGGCTATGCAGGTGGACTTGCGGCCAGCAGGTTGGGAGAGTCTCCCAGGGGCACCTGTGCCTTGAGTGCTGGTGACCTACCCGCCCCCGGACGTGAGGTTCACCAGGTCCCAGTGCCTGGAAACTGGGATTCAGGGCCATCCAGCTGCTTGCACTTTGGACAGGCTGAACTGTGCCCACTGGGGACCAGCTGGACAAAGGGCCCACGAGCTCAGGTGATCCTTGAACCCCATAAAGTGAACAAGGGCCTGGGAAGGGGGGACAATGGAAACCCAAAGCCAGACTCGGAAACTGAATCCTCAGAAAACAGGGAGGTGTGCTTGGATGGCACCGGTCTGATCTGACTGGGGAGGGATCAGCACAGAGCACCAAGAGGCCAGTCAGTGTTCTGCAGTGCAGGGGAAACCAACAGGGCGGCAAAGCCGTCATGGTCGCACTGACCGGTGTGCCTAGCTCATGAGAACCAGCTGGCGGCCAGACTTCCAAGCGAGTGCATGCACACCCTGTGTAATGTAACGTGCATTCGGCACTCAGAGGGACCACAAGGTTCAGCTGTGAATGCAAACTGGGAAGTTGTGAGGCCACACAGTAACCCAAGTGGGGAACCTAGGGGTAAGGGGATGTGGTCAGAGGCAAGGCCAGCTCAGGGGCAGCAGGGCCTGTGTCATGCCCTTGTGACTGTCATCCCAGAGCATACTTCCCCTTCCCCAAAGGATACCATGGCCTCCCGAACCTGCGTGTATGCAGAGGTGCACAAGTGCACTGGCCTGTGTGGACATAGGTGGAGGCCCAGGTGTGTCCAGAGGTGTGTAGGTGCAGTGGCCTGTGCGGGCATGTGTGGAGGCCCGAGGCTGATGGCAGGATGTCTTCAGCTGTCCTCCACCTTATTTATTTTTGAAACAGTGTTGCTCACTGAACCTAGCTCGCCATTTTGACTAGAATAGCTGTTCAATGAGCCCCCCAGGATCTATCTGTCCCCCAACCCCCAGCTCTGAAGTAACAGTCATATTGTCACACCCAGCTTTCATGTGGACCCTTGCGATAGGAACTCAGGTCCTCATCCTCACACAGCAAGCACTTTACCACCGAACCATCTCCCCAGCCTCTTCATGAGGCTCCTGGTGGACTCTGGCTTGAGGTCTGGGGAAGCTCCAAGTCCAAAGGACTAGTCATGGATGCCTTGAGACAGCAGACCTGGGCCTCAGCTCTCAGACATTTGACACTATGGGGACAGCAGGTGACCTGCATTGCCAGGTCCTTTGGAGATGCCCAGGAAGATGCATAGTGACAGGCAGTGGCCAACCAGGAGGCCTGATGGGCCCATGAGTCACACAGAAGGGCTGGGCTCTAGTTCTGCTGGAACCCACTGGGGAACCAAGCCAGAGGACCCTGCAGGTCCCACCCTCGCCACGGGATACACCACAGGAGGCAGCGGTGGAATCGGAACTTTTTATGGGGCAGCAAGGGCTGCAGGACTGAGCCGCGGACCAGCGTCACCGGTACAGGTAGTCGGCCTGGATGTTGGCGGAGATCTCGGCCTCCCACTTGTCCCCGTTGTTGAGCAGCTTCTCCTTGTTGTACAGCAGCTCCTCGTGCGTCTCCGTGGAGAACTCAAAGTTGGGGCCCTGCAAGGAATGGGACGGAGGGTCAGCCCGGTCAAGCCCCTCCCAGGAGCCACTGGCCAGCCGTCATGGCTAGGGCCCACTCACCTCTACAATAGCGTCTACAGGGCAGGCCTCCTGGCAGAAGCCACAATAGATGCACTTGGTCATGTCGATGTCATAGCGGGTGGTCCGGCGGCTGCCATCAGCTCTTGGCTCGGCCTCAATGGTGATGGCCTGGGGGAGTGGCCACAGGTGACTCCACACAGGCAGAGACCTCCTGGCCCTGGGGCTGCCCCTCACATCCCTCCTGAGGGCCACCCCTCGCAGAAGCCATTCCTTTGAGGAAATGACCCGACACGTTTTGCTCCCTGCAGACTCGTAGCCCTAAGTCATCATGCGGGGCAGTAAGTGCCCAGTGACTGTCAGCAAACAGCCTCCAGCCTCAAGTCTTGTGTTCTCCATTTGTTGGAGAAAATGGAAACCCAGAGAGACTGAAGGGCTTCCTGAAGTCACAGTAATGAGGGGCACAGCTGTGTGCTAGGCAGAAGGGTGGCCTGGGACGCGCAGACCAGGACTTTCAATGACGCTTCATGCCCCCCCATGGCATGAAGCCCTGGGTTGCAGCTTCATTTTTTTCTGCCTATAAAAGTGGGGACAGAACAGGTGTGGTGGCACAGGCCTTTAATCAGTATTCAGGAGGAGAGGCAGGTGGGTCTCTGTGTTTGAGGCAAGCCTGGTCTATATGGTACAGGCCAGCCAGTATAATGAGATCCTGTTTCCAAAAAAAGTAACAAAATCTCTACTGGCTAGTGCCGTGTGGAGAAACTGGGAGGACATGGGGAAGACTGGCCTGTCTGTGCATAGCACTCACTACTTGGAGGCAATACCAGCCACTATGGGTATTGTCAGGGCTCCTTCGTGGGCTTGGCCAGGAGCTGCCCAGAGCTCAGCACAGTAGGAGGCTGCTGGGCAGATCTTAAGGCTGCACCTGCCAGGGCTCCTGCTGAGCACACCAGAGGCACCACTGTATCTTCCAGTTTCCACACCAAGTCCAACTGCAGATGCTCCATGCAGGACCAACGCAACAGAAAACCAGGGCTCAGAGGAGTCACCAGGGATGAAGGCCTCTGGACAGACCGAGGATGGGCACACAGATGGGACTCTTGAAACTACCCCAAGGCTCCTGGGTACACGTCACACCCACCTCTAGGGTGGAGAGCAGGCTGTACCACGTGGCCTGCTTAGACAGGAGGCTGGCCCTGCTGACTTTCTGACCCGCAGTACTTCAGCCTGAAGGACTCACTGGTCCCAATCACAGGTCAGGGTCAGGTCAAAGCAAGAAAAGGGCTTGGGGATGTACATTTTTAATCCCAGCACTGGGGATGCAGAGGCAGGTGAATCTCTGAGTTTGAGGCCAGCCTGATCTACACAGTGAGACCCTGTCTTGAAACAAAGGAAAGGGGGCGGGGGGAAGACATGACTCTAGTTAAGGGCACTGGCTGCTCTTGCAGAGGACTGGGTTCAGCTCCTAGCACCCACATGGCAGCTAACAACCACTGTAACTCTAGTTCCAGGGGATCCAATGTCCTTTTCTGGCCTCTGCAGGCGCTGCATGCACAAGTGCCATACACATATAAATAAATGAATGAAAAACCCAGGGACGTTCCTAGGGACACGTATTAAAAATCCAGAGATGCCCCACCCCCTTCCTCCAGGGGCAGGGCAGTAGCCAGCAGGGCTAGAGTCACCTGTGCAGGGCAGACGGCTTCACAGAGCTTGCAGGCGATGCAGCGTTCCTCCCCCGACGGGTAGCGGCGCAGTGCGTGCTCCCCACGGAAACGAGGGCTCAGTGGGCCCTTCTCAAATGGGTAGTTGATGGTGGCAGGTTCCCGGAACAAGTAGCTCAGAGTCATGCCCAGCCCTGTGCATGACATGGGGTTGGCGGGGCCTACCCTCCTCCCCAGGACACCTATGGCTAACTCCAAACCTTGCCCTACAAGGACTCGCCTCGGAAGAGCTCTGTCCACATCAGGGTCCGAGCCGCACGGTCTGTCACTGATTTCATGTCCATCTTGGGTTCCTGAATGTTCACATACTCTGTAGGAGGCAGGAAGTTAAGAAATCTGGCTCTAAGCCAGGCGTGTTGGCACAAGCCTTTAGTCTCAGCACTCAGGAGGCAGAGGCAGGGGATGTCTCTGAGTTCAAGGCCAGCCTGGTCTAGGGAGATCCTGTCTCAATTAAAAAAAAGGAAAAAAGGAAAAAGAAACCTGGCTCTAGGAGATGAGGCCCAGGCCCCAGCATTGAAGCCACCAAGCAAAGCTTTAAAGGTCAGTGGCGCTCGGAGTAAGGGGCCTAGGTGCTCCTAACAGGGGTCCTGGTGAAGCGGTCCAGGACCCACAAACTCACATGTGGTAGGGCCCACTCCATCACACCCCTCCCCTCTCCGATGCCCCCAACAATGCCTGTGAGTCACATTCTCTCCTGACCACCACCTCCATTTTCCGAGTGGAAACTGAGGCAGTTTCCTGGTACAGCTGTTTCCCTGGCCTCCTGCAGGACCAAGGTCACGGGTACTCACTGTAGGTTGCTGCCACTGTGCTGCTGTGGAGGCTCCGCCCACCGAGGTGTCCTGCAAGGAGAGGAGTGATGCTCTGACGTTGTGACTTCCTACCAGGAGGCTGGGCTCCCACACCCCCAGGAAAGGCTCCCTGGTCCTACCTGTGAGGGAGGCCTGGGCCAGGGCCCGCAGCAGCATAGACGAGGTCAGGCAGTACATCTGGGGCGTGGGAAAGAAATGGATGTAAGGTGTCTAGAACTGCGCTCCTCAAGAGCTATGCTCATCTCATGCCCTACTCACCCGACCGAGTCAGGGCCAGCAATCCCAGTCAGTCCTCCAGCTGTCCCTGCTCTGCTGAGACTGAGTTCCTAGGCACCCCCAGCTCCTTCTATTACAGCCCCAAGAAACCTATTTAATCCTGTTCTCCCCTCCCCAGCTCTCACCAAAACAACAGCCCCAGCATGTATGGAGAGTTAACTCTGTGTCCCGCTTTGTGCCAAAGGTCACAAGCCCTGTCATCCCAGCATGTTAAAGTGACTAGCTCAAAGTCACCCAGCAGGGTTGAGACCAGGACACCAACCCGGGCATCCCCTGCAGAAAACCCTTAAAGGTTTAAATAATCCTCAGGGCCAAATCCCTCTAGCGCCAAGGATCTCCTGGAACTCTCCCCAGGGTGACCTTGGGCAAGTGATGTCACCCAGCCTCAGGCTTCTCACCAGAGAAATTGGGGAGTCCTGGAAATTAGGTTGGGGTGTCATATACCCAAGGGGTGGTTGGCCCGGAGCCCCCAAAAGGGCCCCTCCCGTGACCGTTGACCTCTAGCGGCCCTACACTTGACCCTTGACCCGCCAGTCCCAGACGCCCAACCCACTTTTTCTCCGACCTTCCCCATGACCTCTGACCCTACAGACGCAGAAGGCCAGGCGGCGCATGCGTCTCAGGGTGCACGCACCCTAAAGGACGCAGAGACCGCAGAGCCCGAGCCGCCCGGGCGGGGCTCCCGGGAGCAGCGGTGACACCCCGTCTTCACTGCCGCCCAAGCTCAGTCTTTACCACTGGGCCCTGAACACCCACCTTGAGGCGCGGCGGCTCCTTCACTCACGGAGCAGGCCGGTCGGCCGAGAGGCGGAGCCTAACTCGGCTACTTTCGCCTTTTTTCCGCGGTTACCCTCCATGCTGTGGCCTGATTGGCCAGTGGTGCCGCCGAACGAGGCGGGCTCAGACAGAACTGCCTTCTGATTGGCTATGAGGGGAAGGCGCTTGAAGGGTTATAGGGAGCCGCCATATTGGATCGGAGAGGCCAATAGGCGGGGGTCTTCCGAGTCTCTGGAGGCGGGACTTCCTGGTAGATGGAGCTGGGGCTTCCTGAAAGCGGTTCGTGAAGCGGTGGGCGGGGTGGAGTGGCTCATTTGAAAACTGCAAAGATGGCGGCGGCAGATGCGTAAGCGAGCGCTCTACCCGCACGAATCCATCTGGTCCTGTTTTTTATTTTCCTTATGTGCATGAGTGTATTGCCTGCTTGCGTAAGTGCCCCCATGTTGTGCAATGCTCGCGGAGGTCAGAAGAGGGCATCGAATCCCCCGGAACTGGAGTTAAGGACTCTGCAAGGACAGCCAGTGTTCTTAACCGCTGAGCCATCTCTTCAGCCGTCTTTGTGGGTGCTGAACCGCCCTGGGGCAGTCTGCCAGCCTTGCAGGGAGTGGTGGTCCGGTGGGTGGTGTGTAAGCTGGCAGTGATGGGCAAGCCTTGGAAGGACGCATCCTGCGAGTGTGCAACAGGTTCCCCAGACATGGACGGCCGAGGGCTGGCCCGTGTCCCAGGGCTTGCCGGCCACCCAGGGCTGCAGTCTCCAGCCCCGCCTAGCGGGAGGAGGTACCCTGGGGCCTGGCCCAGACGTCATGATTCGCTGTACATCGGAGAATCCTGGGGCTTACAGAATCACCAGGACTTGGTCAAAGATGGGGCTGGACAGAGGGGAAGGGATGTCATTTGGAAGTCTGGGGATTTGGGCTTTGGCGTCCTAGTAGATGGAAGCCCCATCCTCAGGAGCAAGGAACTCAGACTGGGGAGTCAAGGAGATGCAGCAGGAGGGACCTGAGCCCCACTCCAGAGGCAGCACCACCACACCCCAGAAAAGACAGGACCCCTGGAGCGCAGGGTCAGTACTCTTAGTTTAATATTCCCTTCGTTCTCAGGAGGAATCCAGTATCAGTCATCTCCACTGTGCAGATGGGAAACAGGTCCAAGGACACAGTCACAGGATGTGACTTGGGCCAGGTGTCACAGCTCTCCGGCTACACCCTCCTCAAGGGGTTGGGTAGCTCAGAAGTGCACTGTTTTCTCCTAGGGACACCAAAGCTGGCTCAGGGCACAGGCCACTGCACCACTTTCCACTTTCCCACTCTAAGCCTATCTCATTCAGGGCAGTCGGAGGCCCACACACGGAAGCCCCAGAAGGAGGAGGGCCACACCTGTCTGGGTTAAGCAAACTGGTCTGTGGCCTGGGCTCTGAATCCCAGGCTTGGGCCCCAGCAGCTGTGGCCTGGGGAGGGTGCCCTGAGCCCCAGCACCCATACTCAGAGCAGCGTGCAGCTGCAGCAGCGCTCCTCCATGGCCACCCGCAGCACCCTGAGGTTTCGTGGTGAGTAGGGCGGGTAGCGGAGGTCGTTGATCTTCTCCATCCTGGGGCTGCGCAGCAGGCAGGCACGGTGGTGGGAGAAGGTGTCAAAGGAGAACTTGCCGTGGTAACTGCCCATCCCGCTGTTGCCTGTGAGTAGCAGAGAACACAGGGGTCAGGCCCTCAGTGGGCTATCTGAGCCAATTTCCATGTCTGTCCAGTGAGCCAACCACAAGGCACTGTGGGTAAAAGGGTAAGCCCTCAGCCTATACCAAAACCAGCGTAGCAGGTGCTGGTGCAAAATAGGCAGGCAGTGGCCAAGGGAGCCAGTTTAGCAGAAGGACTGTCCAGAGGGTTGAATGACCTCTGCCCTGAATAACTGTGTCACTTTGGATAAGTGAGTTTGCCTAAGACTTCTCTGTGACAGTATACCCACCTCCTAGGGTACGCTAGAATCTCCTGACCTGTGGAGTTCCCAGTGCCTAGGAAGGGATGGAGGCCCAGGCCAGGGAAGTCCAGGAGACAGGGCCTGGTGGAGTTGAGGTATGAGGAAGAAGGAAGGTCAGCTTGCTGAAGTGAGGATGGAGGGATGTGGGGTGAACCAGATAAAGAGTGTGGGACCCACGGCTGTGTGTGGATGGGCGGCCCAGGACAAGTGCTGCTGAGAGAAAGGCCAGGGGCACGCTGGCTGGGGCCACAGGTGTGTTTCTACAGAACCCACCAAAATGGTCTCTGCTCAGGTCCCCGCCCACATGTATAAGTGCAGACAGTCTGGAAGGTTCCACCACAGACCATAGGGAGGGGAGACAGGCAGGCTAGATGGACATGGTCAGGGGAGAGGGGCCTCACTGCCTGCTGCACTGAGGTTCTGACAGTGGCTGAGCTTTGGCAATGAGTGTGGTCAGTACGGGGACACAGTAGCCTGTCGGCACAGGGTGAAGGGCTCTGTGGCACCTACCCACTCCTCCGAAAGGCAGGCTGGACAGGGTCATATGCATGAAGCCATCATTGCCACAGAAGCCTCCACTGCTGGTCCGGGCCAGCACCTCTTTGACCACCTGGGGGAGAGCAAAACACGGTTATACCTTCTTGTTTCCGTAAGTGGTCTGTGTCCGTGGTGGACAGGCTCACAGACCCTGCCCTTGGAGCATGTTCCCTGTGTGTTACCTAGAGTGGGGGTGTAGTGAGGTTTCAGGTTGTGAGGGAGGCATCCAGGGAAGGGGCATGAGGTGGCTGTCCAGTCTTCTGGTGGCAGGCCTTCAGGAGAGAAGAGACATGGACTCTGTGTGGGGTGAGTTTGGGCCACTAGGTCATATTTGAACTGAGCAGTCTTGAGCTTGACCCCTGCCTGACTTCCTGAATGGCCTTCCTGCGGGTTTATGTGAAAACTGGAGGTGAAGGGAGATGGCTTGGCCCTCAATTTAACGTGACTCAGTTTGACCCTCAGATGACAGCAGAGATGGGCCTTGTCTGATGGGTAGAGTAGATCCCACCAGGGGAGCAGGCATCACCTCAGGATCGGCTACCCCAGCAGCATTGGTCTCTGGAAGAAGAGCAGTCTGGAAGGCATCATCCTAGGACCAGAGCTGGGCTATCAAGAGAGGCAGCTAGCCCAACTGCCAAAAGGCTTGTGTTGGGTTTTCTGAAGGCTCTTTGGAGGAATGGCTGCATTTAGATGTGGGTATGGGAAGGTCCTAGGGGAGCCCTTGCTCATGTAGAACCAGAGAGGAAGTTATCACAGAGCATGGCCCTGTCAGATTGGTGACTTGCAAAATTAAACACAGAGTGCCTATAATCCCAGTACACAGGAAGTGGAGGCAGGAAGGTTAGGACTTCAGGGTAATCCTTAGCTGCATAGTTTGAAGATAGCTTGAGCTATATGAGACCCTGTCTGGAAAAAGAACAGCTGGAGAGATGGCTTAGCAGTTTAGATCACTGACTGCCCTTGCAGAGGACCCAGGTTCAATTCCCAGCACTCATATAGCTAACAACTGTCCATAATTCCAGTTCCAGGGGATCCAACACCCTCTTCTAGCCTCAACAGGCATTGTACGACATGGATGTACTTACATACATGCAGGAAAAAACACTCATCATACACATAAAATAAAAATACATTTTAAAAAAATGTAAGCCTAAAAAGGGCTGGTGAGATGGTTTAGTGGGCAAAGGTACCTGCTGCCAGTGAGTTTGAGCCCTGAGACCCACATGATAGATGAGAACTGACTCTCAAATTGTTCTCTGACCTCCTCTTGAGTTCTATGGCACACACACACACACATACACACTCTAAATGTCAAAGAAGAAAAGTGAGGCTGGCAATATGGTTCTGTTGGTAAAGGTACCTACTGCCAAGCTTGATGACCAGAGTTTGATCCCCAGGACCCACATGGTGGAAGGAGGGAATTGACTCCTACAAGTGTCCCCTGATCTCTACATGTGTGCCATGGCACCAGCACATCCACACATAAATACACATACACACACAAATCCATTCTAACTGAATAAATGGCTCAGGATTCAAATCTTTCTTCTAGGACCCAGACAATTTCTTCAGTAGCATGGTGGCCAGTGTCCTCCACACGTGGGTGTCTGCCACCCAGCATTCATGTGGGGCAGCTTGGAGGCCTGCTTGGGCACTCCAGACAGGATGCAACAGCTCCCAGCAGAGCCCTGTGGCAGACGTGGTCTTGCCTAAGTGACCATTAGCCTCAGCTTCGTGTGGCTCTTGGGTACCCCAGAGATAGCCTCTGCCCCTGTGGCATTCTCTCTGGAGACCCCACACCATTTATGAATAGGTAAGGAAAAGCAGAACCTGGGGACATTGCAGGCTGAGGCCCAGATCCAGAGCACAGAGGACATGGATGGACGGTGATATCTACAGCACTTCCTTAGTTCTGAGCCATGTCAGGGCCTTTCATAGGGGAACTGTGTGGGCTGCATGGGAACTCCCTTTATGGCTTTTTGTAAATCTAAAGTTATTCTAAAATTAAAAAGTGTGTTTTATTTTTAAAAATGATTGTTGTATGGTGTTGGAGAGATAGCTCAGCAGTTAAGAGCACTGACTGCTCTTGCAGAGGACCTGGGTTCAATTCCCAGCACCCACATAGCGACTGAACCATCCTTAACTCCAGTTCCAAGGGAATCCGAAGCCCTCTTCTGACCTCCGCGGCATTGCACAACACAGGTGCACTCACATACGTGTAGGCAATATACTCACACACATACAAAATAATAATAGTAAATAAAATATTTTCTAAAATATGGTTGTTGGTGGCTGTGGATGTTGTTTCTTGGTAGCTCTCACCTAGCACAAAGGAAGAAAACTGGGTGTGCGGCACAGTCCTATAATCCTGGCACTCAAGAGGTGGGCACAGGAGGGTCAGGAGTTCAAGGTCATCCTCACCTACATAGTTTGAGGCTAGTCTGGACTACTTGAGACTGTTTCAAAAAGACATCATTTAGCCAGGTGTGGTGTCCAGGAGAGTGGCCGGGGAGGATGCGGGCGGGGACCATGGGCACTTCTAGGAGGAATGGCAGGAACAGAGCCAAGAGGCTACCAGCCCTCAAGTCCTGGGACTGTCCGGAGGGCCCGCGTCACCTCGGTAGCCACACTCCCACAGCCCCCCACGGGTGTCTTCTCCCACCTGGCTTCTCTTGGAGAAGGCGTACAGCGCCAGTGGTTTTTCCCGCCGGTTGATGAAGTCGATGGCCTCATCTAGGCTCCTCACAGTCAGCAGGGGCAGGATGGGCCCGAAGATCTCCTCCTGCATCACCGGCTCCATCTCCTGTACGTCCACCAGCACCGTGGGCGCTGTGACACAAGGGGCGACTCATTCTTGCCCATTGGTAGGACATGTCCCGGGACAGACAGAGCCTGTGTTTCAGGTTGGAGAGTCCCAGGGTCTGACCTCCCAGGACCTCAGGTTCAGGGTGAAGAATCCTGGCCTCATGGGATAAAGGGTAGAAAGAGCCAGGTGTGGTGATGCGCGCCTTTAATCCCAGCACTTGGGAGGCAGAGGCAGGCAGATCTCTGTTAGTTCAAGGCCAGCCTGGCCTACATAGTGAGTTCCAGGGAGACCCTGTCTCAAAAAAAAGAAAACGTGAGCCACACTCCGGGCCCTAAAATGAGGTCATAGCTCAGCTTCAAGCTGTGGGACCCAAGTTGGAATTGCAAAACCACAGTGATGTGACGTGATGCTGTGGAATCAGGTCACCCAGAGCCATAGACTCAAGCCAAGCTCCATCATGGAGCCAAGGATTCAGGTATAAAGCCAGACCTGCCGTCCAGCGTGGGCCCCTGCATCCCAGAAAGGTCTCAGCCCCGGTCAGAGAAGGAGACTCACCAATATAGAGGTCACTTTCATCACTCTGGCCACCAATGGCCACACGGCCACAGTCCAGCAATCCCTGGAGTCGCTTGAAATGTTTCTGGTTGATGACGCGGCCCAAGTTGGGGGAGGTCTTGGGGTCGTCGCCATAGAAACGCAAGATGGCGCTCTGGAGGGCAGGCAGCAGCCTCTCCTGCATCTCCTGGCTGCACAGGATGTAATCGGGGGCCACGCAGGTCTGGCCGGCATTGAAGTATCGGAACCAGGCCACACGGTTGGCCACGGTCTGGGGGTCACAATTGTCATCCACGTAGCAGGGGTTCTTGCCCCCCAGCTCCAGGGTGATGGGTGTCAGGTGTTTGGCAGCCGCGGCCATGACGATCTTGCCTACTTGAGGGTTCCCTGGGGGACATGGAAAGAATCCAAAAGGCTCTTTCAGTCAACTAGCCTGTCGGATGGCCTCACCTGGATCTCAGCTCCTTCCTTGAGGGAATTACTATCTTGCACGCCAGGACCTATCCCCCATCCTCTCAGGCCAGCCCCCAAGAAGGCAGGATCTCCAGGGGAGAGTTTGAACGCACTCCCAACATGACCCTGTTCTCCACAGGAAGCCCTTGGCTCTCCCCTCTCTCTGCCTCCATCCCTGGCCCACCTTGCAGCTGACTTCAGCCTGCTGCATCACTCCTCATCTCTCCATCTTCTAGAACCTCTGATGTCCCCTGCCTCTAAAGACAAGCTCAGCAGGGCTGATGTTCAGGGTCTGCCTCTCTTATTTCAGGCACTGTCTCAGGCAGGAAACTCCTGGCCTCACCTGCTAACCCTCCAGACCCTCTCCCCCACGCCCTGGCTGCCCTGGGGCACCATAATTCCTCCATTCCTTGTACTCTGCCCTTCTTAGCTCCAATACCCCAGAGGTTCTGTGGGACCTGGTGGTGCACACCTATAATCCCCAGCGCTCGGGGAGCCAAGGTAGAAAGATTACTTCGAGTTCAAGTCCAGCCAGAGTGTATCTGGCCCTGGTGACCCAGACCTAAGGGCTCCCAGCACTGGTGGGCAAGGTGGTGACATCTGATGGCAGTCCCCTGCCTTCTGCCCCTCCAGCCTATGGGAATGTTCTTCGCCTCAGGGACGACCAGCCCCCTGAGCTCCAGCAGCTTTCCCTGTCCCCAGGTGTTTTCCTGGGCTGGAAGCAGGATCTACACAGAGGTTCAAGGCAGGCCTCTCCCCGGCTCCAACCATGTGCAAGGTCAACAGTGAGCCCTAGAAACACTGCCCATCTTTCATTTCTTCCAGAAACTTTATCCGGCCCCTTGAAGCCAGGTGTTTGGAACCTGGGGATATGCAGATAGCATTTGGGAGCAAGTCTCATCAAGGTCTCGGGTGCGAATCCTATCCTGGCCAGCTGGGCGACCCTGGGCAGGGCACTGCTGCACTTCAGCACCCACCCTGAGCCAACCTCTCGCCTGTCAGGATTGAAGGGAGGTCTTGGGGACTGGTAGGGTTGCATCTAAGGCCCCAGGAGCCATGGAGTCTGGTGTCAGGGCCTGGTGCGGCAGGTGCTTAGCAAGGGTGGACATTAATTTCTGAGGCTGGGGTTGGGGAGGTGGATGGTTGGACACATGGGATTCTGTCCTTTCCTAAGGGGCCCTTGAGCAGGGACTGGGCCCATCCCTGAGTCTCACCTGTGAAGAAGATGTAGTCGAATCTGTGTTCTAGCAGCTGCCCCGTCTCCTGAGGCCCACCCAGCACCACAGCAAAGCAGCTCTGAAAGGACAGTGGAAAGTCCTCAGAACCAGCTTGCTTCATCCAGGCTCAGAGGACCCTTCCCAAGAGCTTCCCAGAGGGCTGAGCACTGCAGTCTCGAGGCTAAGGCCAAGTGAGCAGGGCCAGCCATGGGATGCCCAGGCACAGCCTGCCCTGGCTGCTTGCCAAAGGGGAACAGGCTGAGCAGAGGTGATGTGGCCAAGGCCATGCAACTCAGAAAAGGCCACCCGGGCCAGATACCGTGGCACACTCCTGTAATCTGGCACTCCGGAAGCTGAAGCAGGAGGATCACTATGAGTTGCAGCCTTGCCTGGGCTACAGAGTGAGACCCTGTCTAAAAGGAAAAAAGAGGCAAGGGCTAAAGAGAGAACTCAGTAGGTAAAGTACTTGGCACACGTGCGTGGGGACCTGCATTCCATTCCTGAGCACCCACTACAGAAGCCAGGCGTGGTGGCATGCACCTATAATCCCAGGACTGGGGAGGAAGAGACAGGCAGATCCCTGAGACTCACTGACCAACCAGTCTAGCCAAATTCTTGAGCCCCTAATGCCAGTGTGAGACCCTGTTTCAAAAAACAAGGTGTTGGGGGAGGGGTTGCTGGAGAGATGGCTCAGCGATCAAGAGCACTGGCTGCTCTTGCAGAGGACCTGGGTTCAGTACCCAGCACCCACATAGCGGCTAACAACCATCCATAACTTGAGTTCCAGGGAATCTGACGCCCTCTCTAGCCTCCAAGGGCATTGTCTACATGGGTGCACTTACATACATGTAGGCAAAATACTCATACATATAAAAATAAATTTTAAAAACAAGACATGGGGCTGGAGAGACGGCTCAGCAGTTAAGAGCACTGGCTGCTCTTGCAGAGGACCTGGTTCGATTCCCAGCACCCACATGCTGGTTAACAACCATATGTAGTTCCATTTCCAGGGGCTCCAATGTCCTCTTTTGACCTCCTTGGGCATTGCATGACACGGGTGCACTTACACACATGCAGGCAATACACTCATACATATAAAATAAAAATAATAAATAAAATATTAAAAAAAAAACAAGACAGCCCCGAGAAACAGCACCAGAGGTTGACCTCTGGCTTCCACACACACGTGCATGCACATTCATACAAACAAGTGCACACGTACACCACGTGTACACACACATACACACACACCCCAAAAGATGCCCCTCTGAGACTGGGTCATGGGCTCTGCCTTCCCCCGACCAGTGGCTGAACGACTCTGCCATCCCTGCTCACCTGGTCCAAGTAGCGGGGCAGGACTTCGGCCAGGACCTTCTCGATGCTCTTGCTGGCCTCTGACGGCTTGAGCACCACACAGTTCCCTGCCATCAGCAGAGGGGGAATGCTAGGAGGGTGGGGTGGGGCAGGGCTCACAGCCTACCTCCTGCCCCCGCAGGGCATGTGCTGGCCACACCCACTCAGATGAAGATCCAAAGGTACCAATGAACTCTGTCCTCCCTCTCTGACTTCCTGGGTGGCCCTTGGGGGTCTAGGGCTGTGGGAAGAGGGACGGATGCCTCGCTCTCACCTGCGGCAATGGCCCCCACCAGTGGCACCAGCATCAGGTTCAGAGGGTAATTCCAGGGAGCGATGATGAGCACCAGTCCAAGGGGCTCCTTCCGAATGAAGGCTGAGTCCAGCTGTGTGGCCTGGCCAGGGGTTACCGGGGAAGCTCTGAGTCACCGTACCATGGGAGCAAGTGGTCCCTGGAGCCCACCCAGTGCCCTGCACCCGCCCCCACACACACTCACCAGGTTCTTGCGAACTCTTTTGTCCTTCATCCAGGACCGCAGGCTCCTGAGGGCCAGGTCCACCTCAGCCTGGCTGATGGCAATCTCAGACACCTCTGACTCAAAAACTGACTGCGGAAAGGAGTGAGGTCAGGGCTGGATCCAGGGAACCCCAAGTCAGCAAGTAGCCATAGTCTGAGGAGGGTACGGCCTCCTCCCCAAAGGTCCTGCACCCCTTCATTTATCCCTTCATTCATTCACTCATTCATTCGTTCCAGGGAGCCTAGACACCCAGAGGCGGACTGTAGTGAGAAGAAACCCTAGCAGGTGCAAAGGCCCTGAGCCCAGCTTCTGCTCAGCAGGGACTGTGGAGAGTGAAGTATTGGCTTACGCAAGGAGTTGATCCTTGTCGGGCAGAGCAAGGGCAGGGTCAGGTTATAGTAAGACTGTGTGCCTACCTGTGCTGGGGGGCAGGGTCTATCTGCAGGGCAAAGAAAGCACAACTCTTATTGGATCAATGATCTCAGCTCCCTCGTCCCTGGGTCTGGGGCAGGAATGGTAAGACAAAATCAATGGAACCAGGGGCTGGGGATGTAGCTCTGAGGCAGGTAGATCAGGAGTTTAAGGTCATCCTTGGCTATATAATGAGTTTGAGGCCAGCCTGGGCTACATGAGACCTTAGCTTAAAGGGGTGGGGGCTGGAGAGATGACTCAGTGGTTAAGAGCACTGACTGTTCTTTGATTCCCAGCTCCCACATGGCGGATAACAAACCTCTGTAACTCTAGTTCCAGGGGATCTGACTCCCTCTTCTGGCCTCCATGGACATTGTATGTGCTTACATCCATGCAGGCAAAACTCATAAAATAGAAATAAATGAATCAAAACAAAACCCAGGCCAGACGTGATGGCGCATGCCTTTAATCCCAGCACTTGGGAGGCAGAGGCAGGAGGATCTCTGTGAGTTCAAGGCCAGCCTGGTCTACATAGCGAGTTCCAGGTCAGCTGGGGCTACAGGGAGACCCTGTCTCAAAAAGACCAAAAAAAAAAAAAAAAAAAAAAAAGGGGGGGGGAGAAAAAAAAAAAAAAAAAAAAAAAAAAAAAAAAGAAACAAAAAAACAAACCCAAATCAATAGGACCATTGTCCTAACCTCTGCCAGCTGTGTGCCTGCCCCAAACCTAGGAGGGACCCAGCTAATGGGCTTTAGGGCCAGGAACACTGGAGCCAGGACGTCTGAGTTGTGGCCACCTCAGTACAAGTCCTCCTGTGTTAGATGGAAGGCTGGAGAGGCGGCTGGGGTAGTCCAGAGCACTAGGTGAGACCATAGAAGGGGCTGCCCCCCACAAAGCCACCTTGCAAACCCAGGGCCAGCGCTGAGTCTCAAGGAGGTGGGTGTCGTGTGCAACGCCTCACCACCATGCTTCCCACTGGCTGCACCTGGTGCAGGCATACTACAACCGTACAGGTGCCCACCACCCATACCTTCCCAGAAAGCCCTGCAACTGCTAACTAGCCAGGGAGCTGCTCCTAGCCAGGGACCTGAGTGAGGTTTAGGCTGGTTTAGAAAGCAGTTTGTACCTGTGGCCCCAGCTGGCCTGGAACTCACTATGTAAACCAGGCTGGACTTGATCTCATAAAGATCCACCTGTGCTGGTGTGCTGGGATTAAAGGTGTGCAAACACACCTAGCTGTTTTTTTTTTTTTTTAAGATTTATTTTATTTTTTAAAATGTTTAACTTAGGGGCTGGAGAGATGACTCAGTGGTTAACTATTATCTATATTATTTATTGTTTTTATTTTATGTGTATGAGTGAATTACCTGCATGTGTGTAAGTGCACCCGTGCTGTGCAGTGTCCACGGAGGTCTGTTAGAAGACAGTGTCAGATTCCCAGAACTGGAGTTACAGTTGTTAGTCACCATATGGGTGCTGGGAATCAAACCCAGGTCCTCAGCAAGAGCAGTATGTGCCCTGAACCACTGGGCCATCTCTCCAGCAGGGTATTTTAAAAAAATATTCTATTTATTATTTTCATTTTATGTGTATGAGTTTATTGTCTGCATATATGTGAGTTTACCCGTGTTGTGCAATGCCCACGGAGGTCAGAAGAGGGCACTGAGCCAGGCATGGTGGTGCATGCCTTTAATCCCAGCACTTGGGAGGCAGAGGCAGGCAGATCTCTGTGAGTTCAAGGCCAGCCTGGTCTACATAGTGAGTTCCAGGACAGCTGGGGCCACAGGGAGACCCTGTCTCAAAAAGACCAAAAACAAAAAGAAGAGGGCATTGAATGCCCTGGAACTGGAATTACAGATGGTTGTTAGCCAACATGTGGGTGTTGGGATTCAAACCTCTACAAGAGCAGCCAGTGCTCTTAACCGCTGAGCCATTTCTCCAGCCCTCCGGCAGGGTATTTTGAGCTAGGTTCCCACTGAGGCCCTGCTTTTCCTGGCTGTGTGTCTTTGGGCAAGAAAGTGTCTTCTCTGAGCTTCCTCTATGGTTAACTGGCTGTGACTACCCGCCAGGAGCAGTGGTGGAGGTTAGATGAGGAATGTCCACAGTACTGGACAGATGTCCCTGCTGAGGGTAGGGACAGTGAGTCGGCTGGCTGGATCAGAGGGAGGCACCAGATTGAATTTTCCAGGCTGTCACCTCCTTTGTGAGGCCCAGGCTTCTGGTGTCTTCTGGATGAGAAAGAGGGGGTGAAACCCGAGCTGAAGGAGGAAAGGGACAGCCAGGTCAGGTGTCCTGGGTGCTGGGCGGGGCTGCTGAGGAGCCAGGGATTCGGTCCCAGGGGAGCCTAACAGGCTGGGGGAGAGTCTTTGGGGCAACAGCAGGTGACATTTAGTCCAGAGAAGAGGAACCCACCAGACAGCCCCCCAGACAGCTGTCCTGGCACTGGGGAACCATGTGTGTCTGGGGGAGCCGGGAACTGGGATGGGTTGTGCACCACAGGCTCCAGGGTGCAGGGGCTGTGATGTCTACAGTACCAAGTGAGGGCTAAGACCTTCACGGTGGGTCCTGGGTGGTGTAGCCCCTCTCCTCAGGCCCCTTCTTTCATGTCTCTGTCTGTCCCACTCCTCCCAGCTACCCTGGCCTCTGTAACAACTCTATTACTGACGCTCCAAGTTCCTCCTGCCTCAGGACCTCTGCACATGCCCCATGCTGGGCCACTTCCTCCAGAGTCCATACAGCTCTTTTCATCTCCTTCCTGTTCAGACCTCTTCTCAGAGAAGTCTTCCCTGATCCCCACATACAAACCAACACTCCAGTCCTGGTCCCCAACTTACCATTGGCGTGTCTACACCTCACTCATTACCAGGCAATACTCACAGTGTGGATTTGCTGTTATAGTGTCATCGTCTCTCCCCCTTCCCCTCTTCCATGTCCTCAAGAGGTCAGCTCTGTGGACACAGCCTTTGCTTGCCCTCTGTGTATCCCCAGAGCCCAGCCTGGGACCCAGCATACAGCAGTGTTCTGTAAATAGCTTTGGAGTGATGGAGGGTGGATGGGTGGAGGTCAACAGCCAGCTCCACAGTTTACCAGAGCTGGAGTCTCATGGACTTCTAATGTCCCTTCCCAGAGGATGTGGTCGACCTGTGTCCTTTGTCCCCACTGCACCACCCTTGCTGTCCCTAGGGCACCTTCCTCCTCCAGCCCACGGTCCCACTCCACGCCACCTTTCGCAGGTCCTCTGCCAGCGCATCCTGCAGCAGCTGTCTGTTGTCCCGCAGGAAGCGGCCCAGGCTCTGCAGCTGTGCCACCCGGAACTCAGCCGGCCGTGTCCGACCGGTGTTGAAGGCCTCCCTCAGCTGCCTCAGCGTGGCCTCCAGGGAATCCATCCTGCAGGACCGGGCGGTGTGAACCAGATAGCCCGGGCTGCCCTCACCTTTGGGCTGCACTCCAGTGCCTGGCCACAGAGCCCTTCCCAGGGTCTCCTCTGAATAACTCCACGGGTGACAAGAGTGGCCTTTGAGACCCTCAGGAAACAGATAAACACAGGCGTGTCTCTCTCTGCCAGGGCGGCTCTGGGTGGCTGCAGGATACAGTGTGGGCTTGGGGACAGCTGCTCCCTGGCCCCTAAAGCTGGACAGATAGGTGGGGAAATTGGGGGTGGGGGTGGCTGCTTCTTTCCACTTGATGAAGACTAGGTAAGAACCATGGCCCACCCTGCTCTGGGCTCTCCTGGGGGCTGGCCTTCACTCTGGCTGACCTGAGTGGAGCAGACAGAAGTGGGGTAAAGAGGACACCCCACCAATATCATTCCCAGCCACCACAGCCACAAGGCGGGCCAGGCTGGCTGGGGCAGCTCGGAGACCTGGGTGACCTTGGGCAGAGAATCTTCCAGACCCTCGGCTTTGCTGGTGTAAAGGAAAGAACGGCACTGGCTCCCCAGAGGCTGCTCACCTCAGCCACCAGGCCAGCTGAGGCACAAGAGAAACTGACATTTGGGGAAAGGAGCTGGGTAGGGTGGCAGGCGGGACAGGGGCCTGATATTCCCCTGGGCTCCTGCCTATTTACAGGAGAGGAGCCTGCGACGCATGTGCTCCTTGGCCAGGTGTCAAGGACCCGTTGGGGACCCTTTCCTCATTCCCTCTCTGACTTCAGGTCTCAGAGTGGCTAAGCCTCCTCCAGGCAGCACACCCTGCTGTTCCTCACCTAGTCTCACAGTGGCCTCTTGTACTGGGTGGCACCATGGGATGTATGCCTGGCTACCCTTTCTCACTGTGCCCTCCCACGGGGTCAAGAGGCCAGCCTTACTTTGCAAAATCTGTTAGGGGCAAAAAGATAGTGCCTACCGGATGACTGGGATTGCGGGGTTTTTACTGCTGTTGTTACTGTTGGGTTGTTTTTGTTGTTGTTTTGGGGTTGTATGTGCATCTCTCTCTCTCTCTCTCTCTCTCTCTCTCTCTCTCTCTCTCTCTCACTCTCTCGCTGTGTGTGTGTGTGTGTGTGTGTACCTGCACATGGCTCAAGGCTGATGTTGGGAGTCTTCCTGGATCACTTTCCACCTTGTTCACTGAGACAGGCTCTCTCAATTGAACCCAGAGCTCTTAGATAAGACTAAAGTAGTCAGCTTGCTGCAGGAATCCAGTCTCTGCCTTCCAAAGATACAGGTAGCTGCCACGCCCACCCAGCATTTATGTGAGTGCTAGAGTTCTTGAACTCTGGTCCTTGTGTTTTCATGGTGAGCACTTTATCCACTGAGCCATCTCTCCAGCCCTGGGTGTTGTTACTGTTTTCTTAAGGAGTGTGAGACAGGATAACTTCAAACACGAACTCTTGAACCTCCTGTCTCCACCTCCCAAGTTCTGGGATTAAAGGCATGCACCACCACATCTAGCTTAGCTGGCAGGGTTTGTGAAGACAAGGTCTTTACTGTTTGCTCCTGAGCTCTGGACAGGCATCAGCGCCCCCAGAGGACTGTCCAGCAGCTGCCTGGATGGCTGAACCCACTTTAGAACAGGTATGTGGAGAGTGGTGGTCTGCAGCCCTCAGCTGCCCCAGCTGCTGTGCCCAGGGTCCCAAGCTGACCTTCCAGGCTTCTCCCCAACAGCTGGGGACTTGCACAGGACAGTACCTGGCCCTCCAGAATGTCACCAGTGCTGCCTGGGCTCTGCTCCTCCCAATTAGGAGAGCTTGTGCCAAGCCATCTGCCCTGCCTCAGTTTCCCTGCTTATAACATAGGGTGACTTGGTATGCTGGAAGATCTCAGGGCACACTGCTGTGCAAAACACTTGCCATCGCTCCCAGAGAGTGCAGAGAATGTGTCACCGACAGGGCGGGGAGACGGCTCAGTAGCTAAAACTCTTGCTCCACAAACTAGAGGCCAGAATTCAAATCCCCAGAACCCACGTAAATGCTGGGTGAGGACGTTTGTTCTCCTATAATTCCAACTTCAGGAGACAGAGACAGCGATCCCCAGAGCAACTTATAAGACTGGCTTACAAGGTGAGCCACATTGGCAAGCTCCAGGTTTGACTGATAGATCTCGCTTCGGAGGAAAATTCCTGCCATCAGCTTCAGACCTCCATAGGCACACCATGCGCGAGCCCGCACGCATGTCAACACACATACACACGCATGAAAAGAGAAAAGAAATGAAGTCACCAGCAGTCACCTGCTCCCTGTTCTCGCTCACCTTCCCAAGGCCCTCTGCATCCCACTCTCCGCCTTTCACTGGAGTCTCTTCAGAGCCCACAAAAATGTAAAGCATGCTGCCAAACACTGACTTGTGGGCCGGAGAGCTCTGCAAGTGGGGTCTGGACAGAACATTCTAGAAGTGCTCCTAGCAACATTGATGCAAACTCTCCAGGGCAGTGGGATACATACCTCTCCTGCAGGGCTACCCACTTGGCCGTGTCACTCACATGAATGCTGGGTGAAGATGTCAGCTGCCCTATAATTCCAAACTCAGGGGACAGAGACAGGGATCTCTGGAGTCATTCCCTCCCCAGGGCTTGGTCACTGTGGAGTGAAACCTGAGGGTGTATCCAGCAGGGGCTGGGGAGCCAGGCTGGACCTGGGTAAGGAGAGGAGCCAAGGCTATCTGCCATCTGGGATGCCACACTTAGACTAAGACCTCACAAAGGGGCTGGACATTCTGAGAAGACACAGGCTAGGACTCCCCATGTCACTCCTCTGGGCTGTGTCCCAGCCTTCTTCCCCCGCCCCACACTGAGTGCGAATGTCTGCCTTGATTTCTTCAAACACTACAACAGCTCACCAACCATTCTTCACTCCACTGACCAGGCACAGAGAGGGCCAGGAGCTTGCCTGAGGACACAGGGCTTCTTAACATCGGAAAATCTAGGTATAGAGACACAGAAGGCTGCCTGCTACAGATCCCCAATGGTCCCGCCCCCTCAGGTCTGGAGTGTGGAGAAAATCTGGCAGAATCCTTGGGAGGAAGTGATGCTTGTAGGCTGCAGACTCAGGACCAGGAGGGCATGGCTGTTTGCTGAGGTATCCAATGAGTATGAAAAGTTGAACTGTTGGGGTCCCCTTCCCTCAGTCCAATCACTCCTGCCAAACCCACTGTGTTGTGGGGTCCAAGACCCTGCCTTGAGTCTCCTTGGTCTAGCTGATTAGATCCAGGGGTCTTCCTTACATTATTTGCTCAATCTGCTTCTCTGGAGGCCAGGGTAGGACCAGCCACTTCCCACAAGGCCAGGGGCCTGGGGATTCCTCTAAAGGCAATAATCAGCCTGGCTTGGTGGTGCACACCTGTAATCCCAGCACTCAGAGGCAGAGGCAGAAGGATTACCATGAGTTTGAGACTAGCCTGGGCTATGTAGCCAACTCCAGGTGAGGCAAGGCCACATATAGACCTTGCATCAAATAACTCCAAATTATGGACTGGTGAGATCACTCACAGGGTACAGGCAGTTGCTATGCAAGCCTGACAACCAGGGTTTGATCTCCAGAACCCACATAAAGGTGGAAGGAGAGAACTGACTCCACAAAGGTGTCCTCTGACCTTAATACACAATGATAACAAAAAATTAAAATAACTACTAAGTAAGGGCTGGGGATGTAGCTCAGCAGCATGCACGAGACCTGAATTTGATTCCTTGGAAGGTGGAGGCAGAAAAATCAAAGAGCTCAAGGTGATCCTTGACTACTTTGAGCTTGAGGTCAGCCTGGGCTACACGAGACTGTCTCAATAAACAGACAAGCAATGAGGTGCTGACGACTGCGGCAGGCTGAACTAGCCTGGGTGCTTGTGTGGGAGCTTGCTGTGGATGCCCAGGGTTGCAGGGTGATCCTGGGGACTAGAGGAGCTAAGGAAGGAGTGGTTGGTCACTCACATCTGCACTCCAAAGCCCCAGGGGATCAGTCCTGGCCCATGCCTCTGGAAGGGTCTTTGGATCAAGACCTGTTCTCCCACCCGTGGGGGCATCAGGTACTGGATTCCTGAGAAGGAAAGCTCTGCCCAGTAATTTCCTGCCTTGATTTCCTCGTTTACACCACAGGCTTTCTAAGAGCATCTTTCCAGGATGGTGTGGTCAGCGGCTCAGTGACCTGGCCTCAAATCCCAGCAATTTGTTTACTTGCTGAAAGGCCTCAGGCAGCTTTCTTGGCTCACTTTTCCCATCCATGGAATGGGTCAGTTCCTGGAGCCACCTGTCATGATGCCAGAAACACTCAAAGCAGAGCTTTGAAAGGGCTTGGCACAGGCACAGGCCCCAGAGGTGCTTAGGCGGGTTGGTTCTGAATGAGTGATGGTGGGGGGGATGGATGTGCCAGAGGACAGGGGAGGATACCTCCAGGTTAAGGGCCCTAGAGGACCATCATCCAGTGTGGTGTCAGGGCAGGCAAGGGCATCAACCTGAGATGCAGGAGGGTTGGGGATATGGGTGGCAGTTAGTGACAGCATGGTCTGAGGACCTAGGGACCCCATCAGCACTGTCAGAGGTGGGGGTGCTGGGTTGGCCTCCAGGCCCTGAAACCCCAAGGATTCCCACTCTAATCTCCTACATTTAGCCTTGACCTGGGGCTCTCAAAGTCATCCAGAGCTCTGGGCAGCAGCTTCCCCCATCCAGGGGGTCCTTGGGGAGCTGGGACCAAGGAACTCCTGGGCTTGGGGACTGAGCCTGCAGGAGAGAGAGGCTGCCTAGAAGTTCCAGAACCTACCAGATCCCTCCCCCAGGCAGGGTGGGTGCCTGTCCCTCTTTTCCTGGACCCTGACAAAGCACACTGCTAAGGAGTCTTTCTCGTGGTCCTTGAAGTGTCCCCAACCCATCTGGCTTACATGGCAATGGCCAGGAGATGGCCGGTGCCTGAATGGACCCTCAGGAGTCAGGGACCATGTTCCCTTTTGAGGAAGCCATGTCCCTTGTCCCCCTCAAAGGAATCCAGTCCACCAGGAGGAAGACTCAGGGGGCCAGTGGGGCCCTGTATTTGGAGCTTCTCCTTAGCTAACCCCCCAGCTCCATTTCCTCCTTCCTCTTTCTCCCCAGGCTACTGGCTGATGAAGCCTGAAGAACAAGGCCGGTCTGTGTGTAGCCACCAGTGGCCAACACCCAGAATAGCTGGGCCAGATCCCAGCCAGGACAGATCGGTAATGGCTCCACTCCAGTCTCCCCGGGACACGGTACCTGAGGCCTGGCCAAGTGCTCTTCTTCCTGGCTGTCCAGTTCTGCTTGGTGCCCTGCCTTTATGCAATATCCAACAAAGCCTGCCCCTGGGGCGGGGCCTTCCTGGCCTGGTGCCTGACCTTGTCTCCAGGCCAGCTGGAGGCTGCAAGCTGAGATTTTTACCGCAAACTCCCATAGGGGCCTAGAGATCATCTCCCGGATCACAGAAAAGGAGGTAGGGTCCAGAGAGGGCTGGCACCGGGCCAGGGTAACACAGCAGGTCTGAGCCTTGAGCCAGGGGTTGTAGTCCCAGGAAGACAGCCCAGGCCAGTAGTTCCGGGAACTTCAGTACGAGATGGGACCCAGTGGCCATGTCCCCACCCATCCTTCCCTTGAGACAGTCCTAAACCTCATTTTCTCCATCTGCAATCTCAAGACTAAATTCGCCACCAGCTGTGTCCTCTGCTTGCTTGGAACCCTCAACCCAAACAGCAGGGACCTAAACAGCAGTCCACTCCCAGACCTGTCACCCTCAAACCTGGCATTTTACAGTGAGGAATTGGGGCCTGAGAGGAGCGGGGCTTAGCCACATGGGATTTGCATGGCAGGCTACATGGAGCTGGGGATGTGTCTATCCTCAAAGATATCTCCTCGGCCCACCACCCTTCAGGACAGCAGTCATGATACTGTGTGTCACCACAGTGGTCCCTGGAGTCCTGCTCCTCCACAGGTGCTGAGCTGTGCAGGGCTCCACCCCAGATACACCTGTGGGAGTCAGCACAAAGCGGGGGGTGATCCAGAGCAGCTGCTAGGGACAGACAGACTGGTGGCTAGATTACACGAATGTGTGGAGGACATCCTTTGTGCCTCTGCCCCGGGCCACTGCCTGGACCATCTCTTCCGAAGGTGCCCTGGGCCTGCTTGGAGGCGGCTGGCTGGGGCCTCTGCGTCGACCTTGCACCTAGGAGATGCACCTTGCTGCCCCACCCTGCTCTCCAGCTTACCTGGGAGAAGACTTCAGGCCCACACCCTGCTGGCAGCCCTGCAGAATTCAGCTAGCCGGGGTAGACGTAGGGCTGAGGGGCCACCAAGGGCCCCCGACCTCAGCGTGGGATGGAGCCCCCAGCCGCCGGTTGTCACGTGGCTCAACATGTGACAGCTGTTCCGTGTTACTGTCTGGAACCGAGCCAGGCAGAAGTACAGGCAGAGCGGGTGCTAGGCAGGGCCGAGCTGAGCCTGAGCCTGTAACTGTCAGTCAGAAACTAGGCCCAGAGAGGGTCAGCCACTGGTCTGAGACCACACAGCAAATGAGGGACCCATCTGCGGGATGTCCTGATGAGTGGAAGGGGTGTTAGAGGATTCTGAGAGGCCCCTTCCTAGCCTGGGGGCTGATAGGGAATTGCAAACTTGTTCTGCAAGTTTGGGGGCTAAATTTGCTTTGAATTTGGAACAGCTTAGAGAGAGGCCCACAGGAAGCCTACATTTCCAGGACAAGGTCCTCATTGACCTGAGGGTGATGTCCTGGTTAGCTTTAACTGTCTATCTGACACGGCTTACAGTCTTCTGAGAGGAGAGTCTCAGTTGAGGAATTACCTAGATCAGATTGACTTGTGAGCATGTCTGTAGGGGATTGTCTTGATTGTTAATTGATGTAGGCGGGCCGACTCCATTGTGGGTGATGTCATTCCCTGGGCAGGTGGTCCTGGGCTATGTATGTGAGCCAGTGAGCTGAGCCGAGCCTGTGAGCCAGCAAGAATCATCCGCCATGGTTCTTGGCTGTGAAATGAGTTCTTTGATCGGAGGGAATGCTGTGTGGTAGGCAGGCAGGCCTACCGTCAAGTCCTGTCTCGAGTCTCTGCCCTGACTTCTCCTAGCGATGGATAGTGACCTGGAAGTGTAAACTACATAAGCCTTTTCCTACCTACATTACTTTTGGTCAGAGTGCTTTTATTACAGCACCAGAAAAGTAGTTAGAACACTCCCCCAGGAAGGGTTGTGGGGAAAACAGGGGTAGCCTTTCCTCTCTCTGTTCTGAGAACAAGGCCTGATGGTATGGCCTTGCTGAGGGGAGCCCAACGTAAATGGGGCAGGGTGGGGGCTCTGCCCAGAGGCTAGCAAGCAGGGTTGGGCAGGGAGGAACCCTAATGGCTCTGCAGTTCCATAGCCCAGCTCTTAGCCCCTGCGTCAGATAGATCTGACACCTTTGTCCCAAGATGCACTGATGGGTCAATAGGATGCTTGGGTCCTTCATCAGGGATAGAGGTATAAAGTGTGGCTGACCTTCAAATCCTGGTCCTGACAGACATTTGTCTGAATGACCTTTAGTTTGTGTCTGAACTTCTCTGGGTCTCTGTAGTTCCATCTATAGGGTTGTGTGATAATAAAACAGGTAGAATCATTACTACACCAAGCACTCCTAGTACCTCTGAGGAGGCCAAGAGCTGCACAGACTCCAGGACAGGAAGGTCACCCAGTCCCTGCCCAGTCCTCCATCACCTACCCCAGGCCTCACTGCCCTCTGCTGGGGCCCCCTAGCTTTGGAGGTTCCCACTGTGTAAATTTCCCTTCTTGTCCCATCCAGCCCTCTTAAAGGGGATGGCTGAGGCCCATGAGAAGCTGATAGACCAAAGTCAGGTGTGTCCTGGTTTTGTGACTGATTCTTCCAAATTTGATAAACTTTAAGGCTGATTAAGACACAGAAAGTAAAGAATGTAAACTCACCCATTTGCTGAGCTAGACTGGGGTGGAATTGGTCTGTCATTGTATCCTATCTTGGGGAAGGAGACATTTGCTCATGTCTCTAAGAAAAATTATACACTGGGTGTGGTGGTGTGCACCTTTAATCCTAGCCTTTGGAAGGCAGAGGCAGGTGGATCTCTGCGAGACTGAGGCCAGCCTAGTCTATATAGTAAGTTCCAGGTAGTCTGAGACTAGGGAGACCCTGTCAAAAAACCAAAAACCAAAAAAGAAAAATTATACAACAATCTCTATCGCAGGGCTCCTTGGCCTCCCTGGGGCTGGGGTACCTGTTCCCCTGCCTGGTCTCCTCTGTTCACCCCATGGGGTAGGCCCAGGCTTGTTTCCCACACCTGCCTCAGCTGAGCCACTTGTACTTTTGGAGAATTGGGTGAGAAGTCCCTTAGAGCTTTTACCTTGGGTCTCTGTGGGGACAGGAACAGAGAGGGTGAGGAATGTGGCCTGGGTCCGGGGGCATCTTGCCTCTCCCTCATCTGTAGATGATACCTAAGCCACATACCCTCATGGGGTCTCTATCCTCACTTATAAAATGGAGTTAATCCTACTGGTCTTGCTGAATACAGTGAAGGAAGAAACGTGCAGCGTGACCAACAGGACCCCGGCACACAAAGGAGAGATTCCATATATATATGTCTGTCCTCCTGCCCCTGTCCCTGCCCTTTGAAGGAGGTGGGTGCCTTGGGCTTTTTTATCAACACCAGGTGCAAAGATAGAGGCACAGAGGAGTTCCCAGGACCCAGCTGGCACTCAGAAAGCAACAGGGACTATTAGTCACCCACTCATTCGCACTCTCAACAAAGCTTAGAGGGGTTCTGGCTGTGGGCCCAGCACATATATCCCCAGACCATTCTGAGACTACCGGCCTGGAGGGGAGACGGCTACCCAGTCATGGCTACATACAGGGAAGCATACTAACCAGGCCTAACTTTACCCACAGAGTTCCCTGGATGCCCAGAGTCCTTGGTGCTGGGTAAGGCCCACATTCCCAGGGCCACATGTGTTAGCAGACAGCAGCAGCCCTGTTTCTGAGACAGTTGCTGGTCCAGGCACTAGGTAGGGTCCTTAGGTTCTTCCAACTGCCCCAGAGCCAGACCTGAAGCTCACCATCAGCACTGGCTTTGGTTTTTATTTTTCTAAGACAAGGTCTTATTCTGTGGCCCAGGCTGGCTTAGAACTTGATATATAGTCAAGGCTGGCCTCAAATTTGGAGCATTCCTTCTGCCTTAGATTCCAAGTACTTGGGATATAGATGTAAGCTGTCACACCTGGCTTCCTGTTTCTCTTCCTATTTTTCTGTGAGGAACATTGATTATTATCATAATGAAAATACAAAAATGAAACTTTATTATTGAGAAAGCATTTGGAAAAAGTGTGGGTGAGATCCAGTGACTTATTCCTAGGGCATCACCACAAGTTTTCACAGCCTGACTAGAGGAGACAGGACAGTAGCCTTGTCAAGTTGTCTGTTCTGCAAGTCACACTGTCTCCTTGGGTGACCCTTTACAGTCCAAGGCTCTCTGACAGCTGGGTCACATTCCACCTAAGCTTTGTGTGTGTGTGTGTGTGTGTGTGTGTGTGTGTGTGTCCACGTATACAATCCTAGAGATTAAACCCAGGGTCTCACACATGCTAGGAATCTCTGTACCACTGAGTCATATCCTCGCCTAATTTTATTTTATTTTTTTAGACAGAGTCCTACTAGGTAGCCCTAGTTGGCCTGAAACTCACTATGTAGACTAGGCTGGCTTTGAACTCACAAAGATCTGCCTGTTTCTACCTCCCAAGTGTAGAGATTAAAGGCATGTGCCACCACACCCAGCTAAGTCCACCTAACTTTTGGCAAAGGTGCCAAAAACACACATTGGAGAGAAGACAGCCTCTTCAACAAAGGGTACCAGGAGAAGTGGAGAGGCACAATGTCGTGGTTTGAATGTGGAATGTCTCTCATAGGCCTTGCTGGAGGTTGCTAGTCTGTGAGCATGGGACTTGGAAGTTTCATAGCCATGTGACCAGCTACCTCCTGCCATGCCTTCCTCACTGTGATGGACCGCATTCCCTCAAACTGTGAGCCAGATCAACCCTTTCTTCCTTAAGTTTCTTTTGTCAGGTACCTTGTCACAGCAACAGAAAAGTAACTGATCCACATCACTCACCTTGTTCAAAAATCAACTCAGAGCCCGACTTGGTGGTGCACGCCTTTGATCCCAGCACTCAGGAGGCAGAGGCAGGTGAATCTCTGTGAGTTCAAGGCCAGCCCGATCTACGTAGTGAGTTCTGGGCCAGCTGGGGCTTCAGGAGACCCTGTCTCAAAAAAACAAACAAAACAAAACAAAACAAGTCATTCAACCAATAAATGGATGAACAAATTGAACAGAT